AATTATGTAAGTGAGACCAAAATCAAATATTTATGTAACACTTACTTATACTTAGTCACAAAGCAATGGAGAAATACAGCGATTTGCACCTTAGCAAAGTCTGCTCCAATACAATATCTTATGCCACTCCAAATGCCATAAAATTTCTAGTTGCTCCATTTAGCTCTATTCCCTGTTAGCAATTTCAACAAATCTGAGAAAAATGGAATTATAATATAATTTTTCGACAAAAGTACTCACCTCCCAACCAGCTGGAATGGTATATCCTGCATCACAAATAAATTTTGTTATGTGACATGTTATATAAAGACATAATCAAGAAAAATAACTTTATCAGATAATTATAGGGAGAAGGCATAAGTACCCCTAGACTATGACCGAAATTCCAGAGACACCTTAACTAAACTAAGGTCCTATTACCCCCTGAATTCATTTTATATATAATTTTGTGCACCTTTTGGCCTACGTGGCACACTCCGTGACTCCATGCAATTGAGGCGCATAGGAGATACTTGGATGCCACATAAGCCAAAAAGGTGTAAAAAATTACAAAAAAAAAATGAGTTCAAGGGGGTAATAGGATCTTAATTTAGTTAAGGTGTGTCTCTGAGATTTGGGTTATAGTCTAGGGGGGTACTTGTACCTTTTCCCGATAATTATAAGAAAATAAAGAAATTAATTAAAACTAAGTAAAAAAAAACTGGACAAAATGAGTTAAAAATGGAAGGACATTGCATCATTAACTCAAGGTACAAATTCAGTTACAGTCTATTTTTCTAGAATGAAGGATTACTGGGATGAGATAGATGCATTAGTACCCACTGCTGGGTGTAGTTGTGAGACATCTAGACCTTCGATCGAATTGTTGAGAAATCAACGCCTGTTACAGTTTCTAATGGGCTTGAACGAGAGTTTTAGTCATGTGAGAAGTGATATACTATTGAAAACCCCTGTCCTAACTGTTAATCAAGCCTATGCTCTAGTAATCCAAGAGGAGAGTCAAAGAGGTTTAGGAGTAGCAGATGGGAGTAGAGATTCCATGACTATGATGGTAGGAAGACACCAGAACCAAAGATCCAATACTACACCTCCCACTTCACATCAATACCAGATGAATCAGTATCCGAACTACAATCAGAATCAAAATTACAAATCTAGAAGGCCATTAGCACCACTTGGATCTGTTTGTGATCATTGTGGTTACAAAGGACATCTAAAGACAAACTGTTACAGATTAGTTGGGTATCCACCTGACTTCCAAAGCAAGAAAAATTTGGGATCTGCAGGTGTGCCTACTAAACCTTATGCGAGTAGTAATGTAGTTGAGGTAGAAGGGAAAAATGATGTGAAGGGATTAGGGAGAAATGATATGAAGGGACAAGGGAGATACATCTCTGAGGATCATTATCAGGAGCTCATTGGAAGAGGAAACAAAGCCAGTACTTCAGGTGACTTTCAGGCTCATATGGCAAGTATTCTTGCACTATTATCCAATGTTTTTTCACATACATGGATAATTGATTCAGGGGCATCACATCACATTACATTCGATAGAGAATGTCTAGATGAAGTGTTTAAAACAACTAGTTCAGGAGAAAATGGTGGTGTTCAAGTCCCTAATGGTGGAAAATGTGAAGTGATACACACTGGGAGTACTAAAATATTGAGAAGTCATAAATTGAAGAATGTACTTTTTGTACCAGATTTCAAGTTTAATCTCTTATCAGTTTCGAAATTGACTAGAGATCTTGGTTGTTCAGTTTCCTTTTATCCAGAATTTTGTGTTTTCCAGGATCTTTACACTGGCAGGGTCTTGGGGATTGGTAAAGAGGACAACGGACTCTATTTTTTGAAGGATGAACCAATAGCAGCTTGTCTAG